CTCTCAAATTATTTTTTATAATTTCATCAGACTTTAAAAACCTCCGAATTTCCTTGGAATTCTCATCAGCACTTTCTTGAAAATCTTCTCACTACTTATTTAGAATATTCATTGGAAATTGACCTGGAATCTTCCATAATAATTGTCATTGAATTTTCACTGATCTGCCCAAAAATTCTACTCTGAACTCTGGCAGTTGACTTCGAGTTCTATCTTTTCATTATGTCTATCCTTTTAACGGAATCCCTTTATGAAGAACTTTGAGTGTGCTGATTTATTTCAAAACTTTACCCAAAACTGCCTACGGCTGAAAATCACTTTAATAAAGTTTAAAAAATCCTATCAAAACTCCCATGGCATTTTTCCCTGAAATGCCTTGGTGTTGCCCTTAAATTTATTCATTCCAGAATCTTATTTTTCTTCGAAGACAAAGTATTTTTTTTCTCGATTTGTCATCAAAATTCACGAGCTTTTCCCGGTTTTTTCCGGTTTCCCGATGCACTTGTCACACTGATTGTAATTCCCTTAACACTTTTTATACATACACTCGTCTCGTACTTACTTAACACCTTAGAAGCTCTTTTAAACTCTCCAAAGAAGAGGCGAAGTTTAAAAAAAAAACTTCACAAAATTTCCTGAACAGTTCTGAAATTCGAAGTTCCTCCCTTTATCACACATAAGATATCCGAAACACACATAATCATTCTGTAGTTCTGCAAATCTGTTAGAAGTTCTCCGAACGTAATAGCTTCTTCTTTTATCCCTCCCCTTCCTGCTCCACAATTTTTCGGTCCATCTCATGTTTCACAATCTACCAAAAAATAGTCAGTATTTATTTAAGCATCTCCGTTGGCACATTTGTCTCGTCCAGTGAATTCAAACACATAAAGCAACCAACGATACAGACAAAACTGTTGCTACAATCACCATGACAAACTCGCTCTGTAACATAGCTCGATCTGAGTGGTAGAAGGATAATGATATATTGCTTGCCTACTTTGTTGCAATATACACGGATGAGAACATAGCTTGATCTAAATCGAGAAAAACATAACGAAAAAATTCCCATTAACACACGTGTATCATCTTCGGCTTTACTTCGTGAAACAGCTTGCCAACAATTTGCTCGTTTCCTTCTACCGCTCCGAGTGAGCTGTGTCGCACGGGCTGCTTGTCGTGAAAAAGAAGGAAGAAAATTATATCATTATTGCTTTTCACGCTGTCATTCGGTTTTCATTTTGTCATTTGGAGATTCCTGTTTGATTCCTTGGTCTTGTCCATATGTATTATTGAATTTTCCACTGAGAAACTTTTAAAACCCAATTAAAATACTTTTGGTTTGAAACAAAAACTTTTTTTTGTGGATTCGATAGTTTCAGACTGTTTGGAACATCTTTGGCTCTAGCACTTTTTTCAAAAACAATTTCTTGCATCTTAAAACAACGAAAAACCTTCTGAGGAGGAAAAGGTTAAGAAATTTCCCAATCCCCTAAAAAGTACTCAGTAGAGTTAGTTATGTTCAGCGAAGGAGATTTTAGACCTCTCCCCTTCTATTATGTAAAAAAATCATCTATATTTTGTTTTTGGTGATTCTCGAACTGAGTCGTAAAGAGGAATCTTTAAAAAAATCTCTTGGATCTTTGAGACATGGAACCACTGAGAGTACTTCATAACACTTTCAGGCAGGGTGACCAGATTATTTTTTGCATTATCGGTAGCCTCTCAAAACTTTTATCGGTAGGCCGTCTTAAGAAGGCTTCCCGAAAATTAAAAACTTTGTGAGCGGGGGAAGGATGAAAATAAATCACGCGCAATTTTGAACTTTCGAGCCGAGCTATCAGTCCTTCAACCTCACACATTGGATTGTCTAATCTAGAGTCGGTGTATAATGAGTCACGCCAAGAGTGAAGTCAAGTTTACCTATTGAACTGTCAAACCGGCTACCTATCGCGCAAAGTAAACAAACATTACGATGCTATGAAAGGTCCACGAAACACAGTAAAAAAATAATTTTTATATCACATCAAAGTGGATGCACCTCAATCGTGTCGAAAATATGGTATAATATTACTTGCAAAAAAGGACAAAATTATCATTAATACACTGCATGAACTGACATTACGCTGCTTTTACTGCATTTGTTTATTTTTGTGGCAATAAAAATTACATGATATTTTCGACATGATTGAAATGCATCCTCTGGGATGTAATATTAAAATTAATTTTTTGCAATAAAATATAAAATATAATCGAAGAAATGATCATAAACACGCAGTGAGCATTACATAGTCATGGGATACGTTTGGTAATGATCAGTAATGATAATTTATACTATTTTTTGTTATGATAATTTGACAAAATCCAAGGGGTAGTCACTCAGCACATTGTGCCGAAATTTGATTCGGCACATCTTGGGCACAATATCGTAGGCATTGGATTGTTGTAAATAAAATGGGAGCACTGCTGGACAACTGTCATTGAAGTTGTTCACAACATTACGTGTGACTGCATATTCAGGAACATCCTCTAATTGAATATACCAGGGGAATTCAGACCAGCAGTTCACTTATAGATCTAAATACGAAATGTAGGTTCTAGAGTGAGCTCAAGAGGAAGAGGCAGATAATCAGACCCCATTAGTAGCCTTAATTCAAATAATGCTGCAACTCACACAAAACAAACTACAGAAGTCTATTCATCATCCTCTCTAGACGGTCTCCAACAATGTTCCCTCACTTGTTCCGGCCGCTGATAGACCGTTGCTTTTCACATCACAAAATACTAGGTTTCTGGTCTACCTTTGAAGACATCATAATACCCTAAAACACAGGACTTTTTATCCTATGAACACAGCACAAGCGATTTGAAATCAAAACATTCCAGGTGTCATGACCGGCACAATTGGCACACCTGCGGCACACTGTCAAAAAAGATGACCCAAGATTGATACTGATTTACTACAGCCACTATTTTTTTCTCGCTAGAAGTCATTTGAAGTTGATTAGGAAGTCCTCTTTTGCGAAAACCGTGATGCGAGTTCAACTTTTTTTTTCTCTCTTGGCGTGACTCATTATACACCGACTTTAGTCTAATCATAACAAGTAAGTGTGAGTCTGACGAACGGAATACGGCACCAAAAAAGGGAGAAACAGAAAATAGCATCGCCGCTAGGAGACAGACAAAGAAAGTTGATTAAACGTTAAAAAACGCATCGCGTTCGATCAAATTGACTGACTACACGGAAAACAAAACATAGGTATTGAACATTTTTCGAGATTGCTCAAAATCTGTGATTCTCGGTAGGAAAAGTGAAAATCTGTAGTTTTGAACCTTTCGTCTGTGAATCGGTAGGTATGGCCATCCTGCTTTCAGAGAAGCTTTGAAAACCTGTATGAGGGGGCTTCAGGAAATATCGAGGGTACTCAGAGAAGTTGAGGAACCTCACAAGAGTTCAGGGTCCAGGGGCCAGTGAACCGGGAAACCGGGAACATTTTGAATCACTGTGAAAAGAGGTGCGTTTGAACCTTTTCAGAATTTTGTTTCACGTATATTTTCGGTTGCTGATCCGGTCAAAATTGCTGAAGGCTTTATTCCATTTAATCTTCCTTGCTCCATTAGCCCCTTCGTTGGTCCGCCTGTGTCTATCTCGTGCTACCGGAGCTCCTTCCAAGTGTAAAATATATATACCCAGAACCTTCTTCGTCGTGTGTGCGTTCTGTGTTTTTTTCGTTGCAAGGCCTAACCACCTACATAGCTTGGCAGGTCCGTGTCATTTATAGCTCCTAGCGAATCCCACGTGTCTATAAAATCTCAAAGTGTGTAGTGTATGTAGTATGTATCGACTGTGATATCGGGAATCACCAGAAATCGTTTGGTCATGAGAAAAGTTGGTGAAGATAAGACGTTTTGTTATTGTTGTTCTTGTGTTTTTTTTTACTCATGTCGGTAACGCTATGGGTGCGGCTGTTCGTTGGCTCAGATTGAAGCAGCACAAGAAAGAAAATAAATGAACAACCAACCGACCCTTTTTGCGATTTTCTCGGTCGGTAGTTGTTTTTAAAGCATTACTAGAGGCTTTATAACGCTGCTGTTGGAACAAATTGAGCCATCCGGCTCAAAATGTGGTGAGATCGATTTATTTAATAAAATTTAAATGAATTCCAGTATATTACATCAAATATTATAATGTTCTGGAGAAGTGTTCACGCAAAAGGGGATCAACAACCTTTGAACAATGATTTCTTTTTTAACCTTTTTAAAAATTTCCAATAAACTTAGAAATTTTCCGAAAAGTTTAATTAAAATTACCTTTAATGACGAATTTTCCGACATACATCTCAATTCCAGTTTCCATAATTTTTGTTTATTAAGTTTTATAACATACATATTAATATTGCGCACAACATAAAAACAACAACCATAACTTCTATCTACAGTCTTTTACATTAACTTCTACCGTGTCAACCTCACATCTAATTCAATTACCTAAACTTAATGGTGTCTTCTAACGCTGTAAACAAATCACCGTGCTTGGTTCACACAGGATGTAATACCGCCAATTTACGCTCGAACCCCTCCTCCCCCATCCCCCGTGCCAAATTAGGTACCACCAACATGCCTCCCTCAAGGAGACAGTCGAATTCCGCATTCCAGCCGAGCTTCACGACACTCGGTACAAATTAGTTGCTTCTCCTGGTCGTGGCACAAACTTGGCGAAACCTAATAAAGTTACAATTTAGTGAAACACCTTGCTTCACAACTACTGCTGCCACAATTGTCCACTGATTTCTCTTTCATTTGATGTGCTCGGCTCGTGAAAAAAAAGGTGCTATCACGTCAAGTCTTGTTATTACCACCTTACCAACAACAACAGTGGTCGACTCGACTCATTTACTCTCCCATGCGCCACGAGAAAATGACCTCGTTGACAATGTAACAATGATGTTATGGTAGAGAAAAGTAAAAAAAAAAGTCATAAACTAAGCTAAACTACGACTCACCGCTGAGATTGCTCTGAACTCGACGTCGTTCTCGACGTGGATACAGAGGTTGCTGCAGGCCGGGTGCCGATACAGCACGTTTCGGAGCACTCGGTGGCCTATGGTTAAAACCTGGTGCTCGGTAACGTGCGCTTTTAACGTTGTTCTGCAGAAAGTGGTAGACGCTTTGCGATTTCTGCATCACCGACGAAGTGGACGCCGAACTGGACGGAGCTGATTGCATAATTGTCTGAATGTTGGACGTTGGAAGACGTGGCAGGGAATTGGTGTTGACGGCAGTATTTGCATTTTGCAGGCTGCGGGGAAGTGTTGATCTGGAAGCCAATCGATTATCATTATGGGTAGAATCGTCAGAATCAGTATCGTCCGCAACGCTGGATCTCCTCCGTGGAGTCTTTTGGCTTTGCGAAGATCCCCATAATTTGGATGATTCGAAATCTTCTCGTTCACCACCTATACTACCGCAACTCCGAACACGGTCCAACTGCTCTCGACTGAGATTCTGGTTGTTAAATAGCAAATCTCCAGCAGATCTTCTCTTCGCAGCCAGCACCGATATGGAAGAGCTGGAGTTATCCAGAATCGATAGTTTCGATCGGGAATCTCCATTAGCCAGCAGTGCCGACTCGAAACTTCCTCTCCACGAGAATCTTTCATAATCACTGGCTTCCTTCTCTTCTCCTACCATTTCTCCACTGTTGGACGACTGATGATGTTGCGGTCGTGCATCTCCTAGCAGCAAATCGTGACTTTTACTCCTTGGAAGCATGTATCCCAGATCCTCGTTCTTTTCCATATTACTTTCCGAAGTACTGTCATCGTCTTCTGTTGTTGTTGCCGATATGTTTGGCTGCGCCTTTCGTTGATGGTATCGCATGGTGGAAGATTTCGGTGATGCACTAGTATGTGATTCTCCGCTGCTCACTTCATGCATCAGCGCTACCAGGCGGCTTCCAATATGGTGCATCACTTTAGCAATCAACGGTGGTGAACTAGTAACGCTGACGGGCTTCTCTTCGTCTTGTGCCATTTTCGAGAGTGACGCCACTAGCCGCTGATAAACGAAAGCAGTTTCCTTGTTCAATGTATGAGGTTCCTCGATCAACCCTCCATCTCCCATATCACCTTCTTCATCCTTTTCTAATGTATCAAACTTATTGATAATCTGTTGGCAGCTAGCTGAAATCTGTTGTTGAAGTACGGATTTTTGTGACACGGCTCCTTCCAGATCCGAGCTCGTATAGTCCGAAGAATCATACGAATCCGACCAGGTATCTTCACTGCTGAGATATTCGACTATCTCGCGGACCTGCTCGTCCCGTATTCCTGGAACCGTTTTCATCAGTCTGGTAAGCTCGTTTTCAAAGTACACCAGCTGAGGTGGTTTGCTGCGGCTGCGAGCTTTCGGCACGGGGGTTCCGTGCTTTGGAGTGTTCGATTCACTGACGGCCGGGGTGGAGTTTCGAGACGCTGCTCGACTGTTTGCTGATGCTACAACGAGAGTCTTGAAAAATTGTCTCATTTTCGACATCATCAGATTAGTTTCCTCATCTGAACTCCAGTTGTTAAAGCTATCCTTTCGCACTAAGTTTGTGGGTGGTGGTCCGCTTGTGGGAGCCTTATAGGAACTGTTTTCTTCTTTGAGATCAGTTTTGTTCTCCTCTTGGATTTCTTCCAGCTCTAACTTGAGTTCTGGGGATCTAATCGCCTCACCATCCTTCAGCAAATCGTCATTGCTACCAATGAAACCACTATCACGACTGTTTTGTTTCTTACTCTCCGAAAGAGGGTTGATGGGAGGAAGGTGAAGATCTGGCTGAGGAGTTTTGCGACTTTCCTCTTCAGAACCATCTTTATCCGATTTGTGCGGCAGGGACAACTGCTGCATTTCTGCGTGCTTCTTTGAGTCATCGGAGTCAGTCTTCTTAGAGAACTTCTTCTTTCGCTTTGCAGTATCGTACAAACTTTCGTTCTTATCCATTTGATTCATAGACTCATCGCAGGTATCCGTTTCGGATGAATCTGATACTTCGTGGATATCACCCTGTTGTTGTTCCACTTCGGAGTCCTTGGCAAGTAGGTTATCTAGCGATGAGCTCTGTGATCGACCAGCACCTCGAGCTCGTACGAGACGTTTTCGTCGCTGTTCAGGACTAGGATGACCTTCACTGTCGCTTCCAACACTTCCGCTGCCATCCGATTCGTTCCGCTCCGAAGTGAATCCCATGAATCCCGTTAGGAAATATTTTTCCAATCGAGACGATGCCAGATCGGCTGATTCTGTTGATGTTCCCAGAGATTCCTCGGCTGCACCAAGTGAATCGAGACCTTCACTGCATACTGAACTACTCTCCGAAATGCTGTCATCTCGGATGTTATGAATGGCTGATCCGGATGGACCATCCCCTAGTCCGTAGAAGAAATATTTCTCCAGCTCGGATGCTGACATTCGATATCTCTGTTTCGATCCCGAAGTGCGATTTGATTCCGCCTCACTGTCTTCGCAGCTTTCCTCCACGATGGTATGCAGTGTAAAATCGATTGCAGCCCTATGATAACCACGCAGTTCTTCTTCCCGATCAACACCGAGCGAAATTTCTTCACCAGAATCGTCCATATCCGACTCGGTTGCTGTAGTCGTCGCGAATTCTTCTTCATCTTGGCTCACTTCTTCCACCCACGAATCATCATCTGCTAATCCATCTTCCAGGCAGACTACCGCCGATAGAGTATCCGCACCTGTCACTACCGTTACGTCTTCATTCTTATTACTGTTATTCAAACTACCACTACTGTTACTGTTGCGACTACTTCTTCCACTACCACATTCGGCCACCGCACTTTGACTACTTTTGACCATTGATCCACTTTCACTGACTGCGGCCGTATCTGAAACATTGCACTCGCTAAGGCTTTCATCTACATCACTATTGCTTGGTTGAACACTGACACATACGCTCCCGATACTATCCGACACTACACTAGTTATTGCACTTTCGTTCGTTGTGATTTTCACAGGTCGCCTGTTGGTTTGTGGTGACGACTGTTCCAATGAGAAATTAAAATATCCCGCTAGACCACGATCGAGCGAACGATCGGGTTCGTCGTCTAGTGGCCCGACGTCATCACCGTAGTCGTCCTCCTCTTCTTCCCGCATTGCTCTCGAAATCCAGTTGGTGTGTTTTACCGTGACCGATGACGAAGTGGGCGGATGCTGATCATCATCATCACTGCTACTCACGATACGGGTCGTGTGACTAGTGACGATGCTCACGTGAGATTGCTGTTCAACATTCCCGGACGTCAGTGACGAAGGTGACGGCGACTCGGCTGCCATTGAAATCGTACCGTTGCCTGGGCCAATCAAAATTAAACTCTTGTATCGATTGTTGGCAGCATTGATCGCTGCTACATGAGAGTTATTTACATCCGTGTTGGACGATCGTTCGTTTACAACTGAAGCTAGATTCGTGTTTACGGTACGATCGTGAATGGGTGGTATTGTTGGTAATGGTGGCGGTGTTTCTTCTGCTTGCGCTATGCTTTGCCATGGCTCACCTTTACACTGATCGGTGTGTTTGTTTTCATTTGTACCACCTTCGCTACATGGCGCTGGTAAGCTGGTGGTCGTGTTTATGGCTATTGTATGTTCGATTTCATTGTGTTCGTTTCGTTCTGAGGTGGTTACCTGTTCAGGCGGTTCTATGTTTTCGTCCGCGCATAGGCTGTCTCGCTCTATGTTTGGATCACTCATACAATCGGAGCTTTCGATACATGTCGGCGTGGAAGCTTTTTCCACTACCTTCTCCACCCATTCTTTATGATGGTTTACAGTGAGAGTACTGGTTGCACTGTTTTCGGGAATTTCTTTTGTACTTAAACCACCTAGGTCTTCTTTTTCGATCATTCTCACTGGTTCTAGCTGGCCTTCAGCTGAAATCCGTTCCTTGAAATCTTCACTTTCACTTCGGCTCTCATCGTCCGAGGTAACTAAGCGGATGCGTTTCAACACTATTCCACTGTCCTGTGCAATGGCGCTAGCAGATTTTGCATCTTGTACCAAGCAGTTGGACGAAGTTCCACTGGAGATGTCAGAATCACTTGACTCAATATCGGAACCTGTGTTCACAATCAACACCTGGCAGAACTTTTTCGACTTGGGTCTTCGATCGGCAATAGTCCCCGTATCGTCTGTATCCGTACCCTCCGAAGAACTGTATGACGTTGAAGAGTCTGTGTTTTCAGCACTTTCTAGTAGACCTTTCACTTTCAAAAGTATTGGCTCACTGTTGACTTCGTAGTTACGTTGCACCGAGCGTGGCATTGATCGATTATCGATCGTGTCCTGACCATCTGTACTGCTGGCCACGGACGATTGTGAAGAACTGAATCGACTTTCGGACAACAGGTAGCCCTTTAATTCGTCGTCCTCAGCCAGTGGTGGCGGCGATGGTGAATTGGCGTCTTTAGCCTTCCCCAGTGTTATCATGCTGCCGTTATCTAACGATTGATAAGTACTACTATCGTCACCCATTAATCCGTCCCCAGTATTTTGCCGCTGTATGCCACTCGAATTTTCCGCATAATTTTCCCGTTTTCCACTAGCAACAGCAATGCACTCGTCGGTCACTTCGCATATCGTTTCATTGCGTGAACGTACACTATTAGCAACAACATCGGAGACGACAGTATCATTGTACGTATTACACAGTGCTATTACATTACCGCTGTCGTCGTCTGACTGGTTCACTAGTTCTTCTTCGTTTTCCCCATGTTGTTGTTTTTCTTTTTCGCGCTGTGGTACAGTTATTACCGATTCACTCACACCACGCTGTCTCGGTACAGGTTTTTGCACTTGCACGTTCACAAGTGGTTGTTCATTTTTAATGGCTTCGTGACTGCTGCTGCGACGGTGGTGCACTATAGGGTTTCTTTTGTTAATTTTAGGCTTTTCACATAATTTCTCGTCGCCATTAATACTATTGTTGCTTTTACTTCCACTGCTGGTGACGTTCTGGAATGGTTCTATTACGCCCGAGGTTAGCGAATTTTTATGATCGCTGTTAATTTGGCGAAGGTTTGTCGTAGTCGTCACTTTATCTTCTCTTCCTTGTGCAGCCGTGGCAAGATCGGTGCCAGATAATGATGCTGGAGCGACGTGGTCCAGACTAGCGTTGACAGCAACGGTCAGTTTGGTACTAGCCAATGGATCAGCTTCACTCGGGCTCACGCTATGTCTGCTAGGGGAATCGTTGTTGCGAAACAACTTTTCGTTATGAGGAGCATCAGCAGTAGCTACAGCAACAGCACTAGCACAACTACTCGTCTCACTGATGGCATTATTACTATTTCCATTACCGCGTATCTTTTCTTCTGCATTAATGCTTTCGTAGGTTTCATTTGGTTGATGAGCCAGCCCAGTGCGGCTTACCGATGATTCTCTCGGTTCAGAATTCTTTCGGTCCATTTCCTGACGATCGACAGTAATATTAGGTTTCTTCATTCCTTTTTGTTTATTATGCTGCTGACAGCAGCATGATGGCGAATGCAGGCAGGTCCCGTTATTAGGCTTAAATTCGAAAAGGGCTCCTTCACCACCGGTACAATGCCTCCACAGTTGCCTGATGAGTTCGTGCTGGCTTTGTTCCTTCAGAATCGTATCCAGCTGTTCGGGAACTTGTTTCTGGGACCAACTGTGGAACGTGGACATCGGGACAGGAATGGGCACAGGAACCGGAATCGGTACATAGTGAGTTTTGAATCCACAGTCACACTTGCATGCATCAGGTTTGAATTTTTCCAGATTGCGATAATCTTCAAAGTTTTCCAAAAATCCTTCGCTTCTGGTAGGCGAAGAGGAAGACTCGGTGTGGGTTAAAAATTCATCATCCGTTCCAGTGTCGTAGGCCGTTGGGTAGAGAGATCCGCTCATTCGCCTTCTTCGGTACAGCATCGGGGAGGTAAGAGGAGACGTTTGCAAAATTGATCTCTTCCGGGGAGTATTCCTATGTGGCTGAGTATTGCTGCTGGTGATGTCGTACAGCAACGTTTTGGTGGTCGTACTTATTCCCGGTTCGAAATAATCCCAGTCGCAATCGTCCAGCGCAATGCTGTGTCGGGTGTAAACGGAAGAGGTGGTAGAGCTGCTGTCATATTCCTCTTCCTTGCTGGACGAATCCGAGCTGATAAATACCAACCGGTAGTCATCGCAATCGGTGAATGGCAGTTTAGCCAGGTTGCTATCTGGTTCCGAAGATGATGAGCCTGCGGTTGGATCGTCGTATGGAAACTGCCTTCTCGTCGGTCCGGGGCTGCTCTGATACAGCAATGGCAGGGGATGATGACGTGGGTTGAAGCAATAGTCACCTGAATAATACATTTTGTGATTAGAGACTGGCTTCTTCACTTCTAGTTCTTGGTTAGTCCTGTTAGTAGCAATACCTTCTAAGCAATAATTACGCAGAACGGAGTTAGTAGTTGCCGACCCTACGACCAGAAACGCACTACTGATTTAGTTAGATGCAAGCAAACCTGTTTGTAGGTTTCAGTTTCAGTTCGATATGGAGAGTGAAATTCTTGCAAGGCACCCACGCGAGCTCGGGTTTGCAGATATTGGCTGGTTTTATTCAACCAAATGAGCGCTTGTGGAAAGGGTTGTATTCTATTTTTTTTTATTGTTGTTATTATTGGTACCAATACAAGATTGTTTTATTAATACGTAAAGAAAAATAATCGTTATTATGTGCGTTAGTATTTAAATTTTGGTTAAAATGCCCGGAAATTCTGCATACACCACTGTTCACGTCTTGATACTCCCCCAGCATGCTACCTTCAAACAGTGAGTGTTTCGCCTACCAAAATCCGTGGGCTTCATGCGTATTTCATTCTTTACCTTAACTACGCCAGACTATAACCGAATCTACTTTTATATCTCTCAACCAACTGACACACGGTGCAAAAATACAATCCAGCTACGTGCAGAAATTGATATGTGTGTTATTTAGGAGCACCTCACATATGTGACAGCACATCATAATCCAATCGTAATCCAGAGCAAAGCAGCAAAAGTTGATGATGATGATGGCAATAGCAGTGACAATGTCACGATATCTTACGTCTTGATTAGCACCTTGATTGTACGCCGTTTCGTTAGTATGACAGAACGAAAAGAGGTATGGTCGTACACGCACCCACACACCCTATGTAGTTTAGTAGCGCCCCACAAAACGACATTTTTTTCTACCATGCACATCAACCGCAACCCTCTACTGCCACCCACACATAAATCGCTTACCTTCATCTTTGGTACGTTTCTCCTCGCGCCGCTGTAGGACCACCTTCTTGAAAAGGACGGCAGCCGCTTCGACGGCATGCTGGATCTCCTGTTCACCGAGATGCGTTTTATGCTATTGCATCAAACGAAAATGAAAAGAAAATAAACGGAAATTTACATTTCAAGATTCAATCATTCAGCCAGCTCACATCACATCATCCTACCTTCTTATCAATTAAATTGATCTGCTCGTCGCTGCTGTTGTCGTCACTGTTCTTGTCACCGCAAAAGATGCCATCGTCCAACGATTTGGATTTATCTTCCTCTGCTTCCGCGTAGCCGTACTTTTCTTCCATCAGCTTCGATGCTACGATATCCAAACTCTTAGAATCATGCTTCTGTAGCCGTTGGTTTTGGAGTATCTGCTGGAAGGCGGAGATCTTACGGGGACCAGCACGTGTTATTGTCCCCGTAGTTCCGCCACCAATGGTCGCCGTTGCCATTGGAGTTCCACTCGTGTTTGGCATTCCCCCCGGTTGTTGCTGCATCTGTTGTAGAGACATTGTTGCTATTTCGGAATCACACGCTTGGTCCATGGACCGGAACCCTTTACGGCGCGGCGAGGGTAGCTTGATTGATTTCTGGGCACGTTCCAGGATTTCGGCGAGCGGTCGCGGCGATGGGATTTTGGAGATTTCCGTTTTACGTGCATTCGGCATTTGCTGGAATGGAAATGGGTTTGGGTTGGTTGTTACTTTTCTATTGAAAGGGATTTTACAGATGCAGAGGTTTTACGTTCCGGGATTTAGAGTATTGAATTTGAATGAATGCAAATTTGTGGAATGTCGGGACGGAACATTTATTTCGCAACGAAATATCTTCTTCTTTGATTTTTTTTTACATTTCTACTGGGACTTTGCGCCAGCCCTGAACTTAGTGTTCTTTGAGCACTTCCACAGTGATTAATTTAGAGTTTTCTTTGCCAGTACAATTTTTACATTAGTATGATTGTGTGTGTTTTTCAAACCAGAAAATCCCTAGACTGGATCGAAAATCGAAGCGGTGCACCACCAGAAAAAAAAAATCAATCGGTATTCATTAAAATGACTGATTGAGAAATTCTCAAATTTGACTGTTGGAAAGAATCAGTTCTAAACAGAAATATAATCTGAACATTACTGATATTGTAAGAATCCATGTGAGTAAACTTGTATTGTTTTTCACGCAATGTACCAACCCGCATGAAATGGTAATAACAAAGATGGATGTTTTCGTACTATATTTGTAATATTTCATGAAATCTTGATGAACATTTCAAAAGGTCCTATCTGATTTGATCGTTTATCTTCATAAACTATCTCTTTCGTTAATAACTCAGTTGCAAAAACAATCACTGTTTAATTCGACGTTCTGAGTGCTAAATAAGGACTTCCTTTATCAAACTGTGTGACCGAATATATCACGAAATTGTTTGGATAGCCGATGAAGAGAATCCATCAAAGCAGATTGGACCTTGTGAAAAATTCATCTAGAAATATCTCACAACTTTACACGATCACTGTATGCATACTTGTATGATATATTTAACGCTCCATGTACGTGTACAAATTAAACATAAATTTATACAATTTTTCGTAATTTGTATCCTCCGCTGAAATAGAAATAAACACTTTGGCTATTTCGTCCTAACTTGAACATAAAGTCTTTTCTCTCCATCTATAGTGAAACCATGCTGACAGTAGTGGGTTCGATTACTACTCCGGTTTTCTCGATTTACGGGTGTTATTTTAAAACGAAATTTGAAAGATCTAGGTAACTCTGAAGAGAATACAAAGGAATTCTAAGGAGAGCTCCATGAGCATTTAAAAAAATAATAATTAGGTAATCGAATTCTGAGGATGGTGGGCGTTGGCCAAATTTGGATTTTTCAGATGTAATCCTAAATAGGACCTAGATTATTTAATACTCTAGTAACCTCAAGTCCGTGCTCTGTCACAATGTTTCATTGTGATTAATCAACACTCAAAGGGGTAAAATATCAAATTTGGGGTGAATTTGAAAGAAAGGGAACTTGGAGTGTAGAGCGCACTGCCCACTGGACGATTCTGAAGCCTGGCCAAGTGAGTGGGGTATGGGTTTATTTGATTGAACGTCATTTCCAATGTATATATTGATACATTCAAACCATTGGCATTTGAGATAAGACAGAGATAGGATGCGGAGGGCCCGCTTAGGGGAAGCGTAACCCATGTTATGGTTTCCATTTATTAAATAGTTCAGATAGGCTGGAAATGACATGTTCATAGTGAGAAAATGTACCATATGGGGCCCGTTCACTGATCAAAATCAGATTCACATCGTCAGACCCTGCCCAAGAATAAGGGGATTGACGATGACTTGTCAAGTTTTATTATGAATTTACGTTTTGCATTTAATACTCTAGTAAATCTCGCGTCCGTGCTCATTCACAACAGTGTGAGGTGTCAATACTCACTGGGTCATATGTCTTAGACCAGTTCCAGATTAGTTTGCTATTAATATCTTCTGCATCGCAGTTCGCGATAGATTACTAAATATGGGTTCTCTTTTCCGACCATAATAGTGTGAGGGAAGGGGGTGAGTTCTGGATCAACAATGGAGGGGGGCCCATCGGCGTTTGTGGGCAGACCGTCCAAGGCCCATTCCTCACGGATCGGGGGCTACTCACGCAGGCCAACACCATCTTCGTGTAGGTGGAAGTTTCCCCTATCCGATGATGGTGTTGGTTTGCGTGGGTGGCCTTCGCTTTGTGAGTGGGGGGCTTTGGAGCGGTTTGTTTACGAGTGCTGATGGGCCCTTTTCTATTGTTGATCCAGAGTTAAACGTTGCGATATGAGAGCGAATAGAGGCAAATAAATAGGGAAGACAACACCATGACCCAAATAAGTAACCAATGCATGCGGCTCACACTTAACTTGTTCTATTTCTTTCTTTCTTCCTATCATGTACTAATATTAACTGCCTGAGGACAAATGGGAACACGACCAGAAGATCAATAGGAGAAAAATAAAATTCGAACAAGAAAAGAAGAATTAAACTTGCATCGGCAAGAGGAAGCAGACAGAAAGGATCATGCCGGTTGGAGACAGCCAATGTATACTGGACGAAACTTGTATCTAGGAAAAGTCGTATGTGCAGGAAACCGTAAGTAGGATAAGAATCGTAAAAGGTGTGTGCTTGCTTGATAAGATCCTAACTTTACATTAAATACACGGTAGGAATCGAATATCCATTTATGATTAAGGTTTTGCCCATTTTTCAGTGGGAGTGGCAATACTCATTGATGAGTGATTTATCGTACCCATTTATTAGTAACTGTTAGCAGCTAATGATTAATTGATTTACCTATTTTAGAATTACCTATACTTCACATCAGAACCTCATTTCCTTCAATTACTACTCCGTCGCAGCACACACCTTATATGGATCGCTAACCTTTATTTAGTTTCAGCATTTTCGACATTATAATCAAAAGGTGAGTTTTAAAAGTATAATTACCATGCATTTAGATAAATTAATGTACCAGAACCTGGACGGACACGAGCCTACCCAGGGGAGGACCCGGATACGACCACCCATGTGTGTCTAGAGTATCGCACGAGCTGACGAGTGCAACGGGAAGGACAGTAGGTGTATAGACTAGGGGGTTGGTCCCTAGATAAGCCTTCTTAGCGGAAGGCACAGCCTATGCACTGAACAATTACAATTACAATTACAATTAGGTAATCGAATTCTGAGGATTACTCCACAAGAACTCCGAAGAGAGGGAAGAGGTCATGTGTAGTGGTTAGCATCCATGCCTCTAACGCTGCAGGTCAAGAGTACAAATCTCATCCCCGAACAAGTGAACAATGACCTTAAAAGTGTTAAAATTACTTAAATAAAAAATATCCGAAAAGAGTTTCAAGGGAATTCCGATTAAAATACCGAACATGCATTCCATGGGAATCCTAAGGCGAGATACAAGGAAAATTTAGAGAAAAAATATCTCAGTAATTCTGATGCATATAACGAGTAGAAACTCGGGAATATTCCGAGGTAGTTTTAAACAAACTTATGAACAGTAACTAAATACGAATTTCCAGAACGGTCTGTAAAGAATTCCTATTGGGTTATGCAGAGCTGATAAAAATTATTTCTTCTACACTCAAATCAGCTAAAAATCTAGGAAACCTTAAAAGGTTCGATGCGAGTCACGCGATTTTCGATAGCAACGGTGTTTTCTCAGTGTTTAAAGTTCGTTCACTTTTGCCGTTGCCCCGTTGGAAGCAAACAACTAGTGGTTATATCGGTGGAAATAAAACTGACGATAAGATTCAGTTTCGCAGATACCAGTAGGAAGCCATCTATGGAAGAAATTGCGCATTTAGTGAAATCGCTGGACGCGGATCCCACTCAGATGATCGCTACATATCGCATAGTGTAGGAAAAATATATGTTCATCAAGTGGCGCCGGTGCTGTAGTGGTAAGCGTGGTTGCCTCTCACCTCAAAAGGCCGGGGTTCAATCCCAGTCGGCGCCTCTGATCACGCCTCGTAAAGTCGTTGGTCCCCGGTCCATGAGTTGATTAGTCGATAGGTAGGGTCTAGGTGTGGGAGCTGCCTTCCTGGCTTTGGTAGCATTGGTACTCAGTACCTTTACTTGAAATTGTTATCAAAATGCCATTAATCGCTTGGAATTTTCTTGGAACTTTCCTTAGTATCTCCTTGAAAATTTCTCCAGAATCCCCTAAAGCACAACTAATAATTTCTTCGGAAATAAGCTCAACGTTTTCCTGTGAATTATTCTCGTAGGAAATTCTTTCTGAAATCCTATTAATTCTCTTAGATTTTGTTTAGCTATAATTTTGTATCGTGTAAAAAACCCTAAGATGTTGATTGTGCACATGCTAAAATATTTTACAAAAATTGAATTTTGGCGATTGGCGTAATTAAAGCATGCTATGGTCGATATAGCCATATTTCAAAAATTTCTGTATTTACACCAACAATAGTTTTTTTAAAGTATCAATCTACCTGTTCAACAACTCTCAAATCGTAAACAAACAAAACAATATTGGTTCCAATGGATACAAAGAAGACCCTATGCCTTTTGAAACTGATTTGAATGTAAACATGACCCTAAATAACGTTTTCAAAGTTGTTGAACAGGTTAAAATTGAGGTAACGCGACGCCACTGCTTTCGATTACCTACGGCTTGAAACGGATAATGTGATTCGAATCAAGTCGATTGGTTGTATTGTAATCAAGAAATCGTTAAAAACGTACCTTGTAAATTGTGGCTCAGCGGCAGCAACCGCGTTAAAAAAACGTTATTTGAGTGTAGACTCAATGGAATTATTATCGATATTCCGTGATTGGTTGATTGATTAACATTTGATAGATTTTCAGACTTAAGTGATTATTCCGTATCAGGACTGTAACCATATCATCATTAAGTTTGTCGTAGAGTTGTTAATCCAGATTGAAATCTTTTCTGAATTAGCTTAGTTTAGATATTTCTTCAGATTTGCTTTAGAATTCCCTAGAGTTCAATTCATAGTCCCGGAAATAGTATCTTCAAAACTACCTTGAAAATTACCTTTAGTTCTCCTTACAATTTTCTTAAAAAAAATCTTAAAATAACCTGAATCTAATAGTTTAATGTAGTTATAGCTTGCCTTAGATTTTTTTAAAAGAATTATTCCTAGCATTGGCGTCAATAACCTCAATCTACCTGTTCAACAATTCTCAAAACGTAAACAAACAAAACAATATTGGTTCAAATAAATGCAAATCAGTGAAACTAGAAGACCCTGTGTCCTTTGAAACTGATTTGAATGTAAACATGACCCTTAATAACGGTTTTCAAAGTTGTTGAACAGGTAAAACGTGAGGTTACGCGACGCCACTGATCCCTAGACTTCCTGTTCAATTCTCTTCAAAATTCTTACATTTGATTAAAAAATGAAAATTCTAAAATATTGTCTAAGTCCTAGAGTCTTGACTCTTGTTTAATAATATATCGTCACAATAACGTTATATTATAAATTATACCGTTATTCGTTTTTCATCATATTTAGCTATTTAAATGAAACTGGGAAAAACATATTAATCACCCGGAAAAACCGGGAATTTTATTTTATAAATCTAGTGGCTGGTGTCATTAAATTTGAAGAGAAGTCGAGAGATAATCCCGTTATTCTGAGAAAAATATACACACTTAGAAAAAATCATGTAAATTTAGGTGCTCTGAGAGTGACGTACACGAGCATCAATTTTGACATAAATTTGAGTCATAACAGACGCGAAATATAGCTCAATAAAACTTACATTTCGTCGAGCAACGAAATTTTCAGTCTCGGAGCACTTAATTTTACATAACATGTTTGTTTACGTTTCATCTTTTATGTCAAAGACGGATTCCGTTACGTGTAAAATTAGTTATTTCTAAGTGTATATGATATTCTATATTACATATATTAATATATAAACCTGAAAAAGATCGTTGAGAAGAAGAAGATCCAAGTTATGGAATATGGAACAGATATTCGTATAACTGGTGTGATCGAACCTGACTTTTTTTTTCCTTTGGAGTTTTTTAATCTATAATCGGTTGCTGATCTGACCAAAACCAGGCCCAGGGGACAATTTCTAGTTCCTCAATCCCTATTATTTGCCGCTGAGAAGCTGTTCCGAAGCCAAGTAGAACCTCCACGAGGCGTCCCATCATTACTTCCATCATTCGTTGAGTCGCAGCGTTGAACCTGACTATTGGCCACGAAAAGGCCAATTCACATCAAAAATCGACTACATACATCATTTGTTTATCTCAAATCGACGGAAGACATTCAGCGTAACTACCATAAACCGGACTAGTTCATGTTGATCTTCGTCAAGCATCGTCTACAATTTGGACTTCTACATCAACACATGTTAGGCTGCATTCAGGTTCAATTGGCTAAACTTGGTGAGTTCGTTCCATTTTGTAATTTTTTATCTTTTCAAACCAGTAACATTGGAAGATCAACTTTTTGTGGTGCGTTACTGGTATATGATCTACCACCGAACCCTAGTCGTGACAACTTCAAACTAGGGAATCAGGATTTTGCAGTAATTAAAGGATTATATTTTATTGCCTGTTACTTTTTATGACTTGATAATAGTGACAAGACTCGGGTAGTGATCACCGCCGTTATGCATTTCTGTATTGTATATTTTTGATCAAAAATATTATTTATGTTCATAGAGTTTACATAATGCTTTTCCCTTTATCCCCTTTGTCCTTCTCCTTTTCCTTTCCCTCTTCTCTTTTCAGAAAGCGAGTAATAGCGCTATAGCCATAAGCTATAAAAGGCTAGGACAAGAGTTAGTGCTCATGTCCCAACCGTCAGAAGAAAATGGAGCATCACTTAACCTTTCTAGCTTTGATGCTTCCAACATATCATATAATTACCAAAATCGGAACGTACGGTACGAGATGTCCACGTTTTATCCATTTATTGGATTCTGATCTTCGATTCAAACAGGCCCGATGTTTTCTGAATCATCTTGCCCCTTAAATGCTGCACAGTAGGCCTGGCCGTTATGATATGTGTGACGCATCTTTGATGTGAAACATATATCAAATAGACAAGAAAAATTATGGAGGTATATCCATCATTTTCCAGGATGCTTTCAAGAACTGGCTGTGTTGGTGTTAGATTAGATAAGAATAGATTAGAAACCTGAAAAAGATCTTTGGGAAAATTCTGGTATGACCAGGGGTTAAAACGGTTGACGATTTTCACTACGCTCGCTTTGTTGTCGTGCGCGACAGTCCTTTTGTATTCGTACACTCATGTTCTAACGTCGTCTTCCTCACACAACACAAACGGTAGAATAACATTCGAGCAAAAAGAAATTTTTGAAATAACTATCATATGACAGGTGTGATTTCATTCTAATTCCTCAATTTGGTGTACTTGCTATTTTCAGAATTCAAACAAGCACAACATCAGTAGCTCTTATTATGAGGAAAACTAAAATACATACATTCGTGACGGCCGTATGACAGAGCCTGTCATATGACATTTTAATTTGGTACTGTACTATGTTAGCTTGTTTTGCAAGTGTCGGAGACAAAGGCAGTCGATTATCACAGAAAATGTGTCGACTACCAGGACCACTTACAAGACTGGTATGACTCTAAAAGAAATCCAATAGAAATTCGGTAATCAATGTGATTACAACATTGAAAATTTTTCATGATTGAAGATTCTTATCAATCGAAAATTTTGTGTGAAGCATGTCAAAAAATACTTGTCACTTGATTGAGGATTTGACACAGTGACTTACGCATTACGGTCAATCTAAGCATTTTCTCAGCGTCACGCATGTATATGACGTATTTGTTTGTTTATATTTATATGCTACTTTCTGCTCTATTCATTCCAATCGAACGAATTGTCCAAAATAGTTCGAAAACGATTTTACAGCGCTCCAAACTTCTCAGGTGAGTGTGACTATTGTCAGCCTCTTTTTCTTCGGCAACCTTTCCATTTGAACTGTATGTTAACCAGCTGTTCTATTATCGGCAACATGAAATCAGCCGTATTTTGTAGTGCGTAGATATTTCGTTTAGCCTTATCAGGAGCCACATTATGGAACCTATTCGGAACGGCTGTTTTCTTAAAAGCTTTCATATGCAATACGCTGCGTTTCAACTTCCCAAATAAGGCCCCAGGTTTGTTCAGTCGTACAAATGTAATCTGATTAAAGTTGGAAGACTAAGGAATCGTTCAAATGCATCCAGTGTGTTTTGGTGAGAAAATACAGTAGAATTATAATTTTGGTTCCCGAAAACAGTAAATGGGTGCTGAAGCCATAATTTACCCTATGATTTGTAGAAATGATCGTTGGCATTGTGAATTTGAATAATATTGATTTGACTTCTTTTGAAGACAGTTGACACCGTCTTCAACCACTAGACAACGGGCAATACAGAACACCCACTAGACCAGAGGTAAACTTCCGGAAACAAGTTGCTCTTATGCATAAGGTACTGCAAGACTGCTGTTGTCAACGCAAAAATAGAATCACCCCTTTGAAAATCGTTCGTCTTCAAACTCACCTGCGAATCCTTCTCCGGATGTGACAACGACCGCCGCGGTGTCGGCTTGATGGCTTTGTTTCCCGGTGAATCCTCCGATATCGAACGCATCGTTTCCGGCTTGCGTTTCACAGGTTCGTCCTCGTTCGACGATGCCACGGCTTCCGGTTCTGGGGGTAGATCGCGTGATTTCCGGCGGCGTAGCCGTTCCTTCTTACTACCACCCTGCTTGAGATAGTCCTCCGGGCAGAAGTACTCGGGGCTAGAATCGTTCAGGAAGCTCTCAGCACTCTTGATCGTACTGGCCGGTGCCATGCCGGTACGCAGTCGTCGGTCGTTGTTGTAGGTGTCGTAGTTTTCCTCGTTGTTATAGAAGCTCGCTTCCTCGTCTTCGTCAAAGTTGAGCTGCACGGTCGATTCGTTCGTTAGGTCGTAGTCGTCCATCATGGCTTGTTTTGCTTCGGCAAATGTTTTCTGTTTGGGAGATCGTTTTTCTGAGTTTACTGAGTCTTCTCTAACGTGTTCTTGACGTACCAGTCTTGGCGAACGATTGCTCGGAATTTCGGGCAGCAACCTGCGTCCTTCGCTTGGCACTCCAGCTCCTCTACTGATACTGTATTCTTCGTTACTATGGCTACGTACTTTAATCATCTTGGAAGCGTGATGTGGACCACCAGTGCTACCGCCGGTGCCACCAACACTACCACTCGGTGTGCTTGGGTTTTGCTGTGGTGTGGTCGATAGCTCATCGGCCATCGTTGGGAAATGCTGTTGTGAAAGAAAAGGACGTGGTGCAGGTGCTGGTTGTGGAAATAAAAAAGATTGCTTTTGTCTTGGAGAGATAGGCATGAATTTTGGTCCGTGCTGATGAACCGAGAGCGAGTTCATACTGTCTGGTGCCGGGAGTGTGCTTTGGCGTGCAAACTCTGGTGAGCGTTTGATACTGTGCGGTGATAGCTGTTTTTTAGGAGGGGAGGTAGGAAGCAATTTCACGTGTTGGTCGGGATTAGGTAGTGTGGCTTGCCTGGTCATTTGAAAACGGCGGGGTATGGACGAGTTGCCTGAGCTTCCACCGTCGCCAGCCGATTCGGCACCACTATCGGGGGATTTGTTAAATAACATCCGATTGGGTGAGGTGGGCAATTGGCGCTGTTGGCCAGGTTGTGGTGGCTGTTGTTGCTGTGAATGAGCCTGAATTTGCAGGAAAAATGGATCACTGGAGTTGGATGGAAAAGTTGACTGACGTACAAACGGTGGATATCTCGGGGTGGATTGATCACCGTCCGATATGTCCGGTGATCGACTGTACAGGTTTGTTCTACTATTCGGCGAAGTCGACAGTAGCTTAGGTCCTATTTCATGGTTTTCATTTGGCCTACAAGGTAGTGTTGATTGTCTTCGAATTTTGTACCGCGCCGCTATAGGTGAAGTCTGCGGTTGCGGGTCCGCATCGTCGTTCTCGTTATCCGTATGATACGGGCTGTACTGTGGACTGGGGCTAAGCTGCTTAGGTGACACCGAAGGTGGCATCAGGTTGTTGTTGCTGCCGTAGAACATTCCGGCATCGGGATTCGGTAGAGTAGATTGTCTTGGCATTCGGCGTCCCATCGACGGTTGAAGTTCGTCGTCGAACTCATCCTCCTGTGCGTAGTCGGCCATTGTGCAAGGATTGACGTAGGGGTATCTTACCAGCGATGGATAACTGCTCTGCGATTGCTTACGAGGTAAATGTGTATATTGCTGTGAATCGGTGTCTCCTTCGGATTGACGATTTTCATCTTCCGCATCTGGTGGCATTCATGGGAATGGAGATATAAAATGAAACAAAACAAAATAAGTAAGTCACATGCTTGAATGACAGACGACACATCTGACACGTTGCTGTTATAATGAAAAACATACTACAGACGCCTAGAATTCAAGTCCATCATCGCCAGTAAGGTTGTTGCAACTCATGCCGGTGACGATGATGACAAACGACATAAAACACTGGGCGGCCGTTTCTCGTTTCAATTTGGTTCGGCTTTGTAATTATCTCTATCCCGCCGTGCGGCACCAAGTTGCTCTGCACTATGCACTCTATAGCTACATTGGAGAAGCAACCGATTTCTGGGTCAATCGATTCCTTCTCAAATAGTGCCTACCGAGAGCAACATCGCGCTCTAGGTCTAGCATTATTACCCGAACTCATGCCGAGAATGTTGGATGTAATTCTATCGTTCTTCTTTTTCGATGAAAGGGCCCCCATCATTTATCGTGCAACAACAATGTGAACCTCAACAACGTGCAGAAACCGATGGGCGTTTATTGATTTTGGGCTACACAAATTACACACAACCATACTTACTGGATATAGTCCAGGAGCGCCGGATGCTCTTTCTGATCAAATCCGATGCTGGCAGGTAGTCCTTGCCAGCGATGACCGAGGTTCTGCGGCCGTCGCTATCGGCGTAATCACTCATCCAATCTTCACTGGCTGCCTGCAGCTCACTGGATTTTTGGTGGGGAAGAGCGAAAATGAAACAAGAAACGATTAGATTGATTAGGTTGTTACGAGGAAATAAAATATTCTATCATTCAATATATGAGATAAAAATATTAACATCTACGCAGAAGGAAGGAATGCACATGTGACAGCTTCTTTTCCGGGAAGGCAAACCCCATTACTGGGGGATGATGAAATTAAAAGACACCTATACAACTGATCGTCTGCTAATTGAGGTTGCGTTATATACCGCCTCAATCGATGTATATGTATTTTGTTTTTGCAGAGCTTCGCAGGCAACTAAGCGACTAAATTGTACGGGGTAACAAAAGTGTTACCGAAAATGGCTTTTAAAACGATAAAGCATAATTATACAATAAATAAAGTTATATATTGAGAAATGAAAAACTGAGAAGCGAAGACGTTAAGCAAGTAAATAAAAAAAAAACAGTGAATCAACAGAGGTGAACCACAAACGTATTGTAGGTGTTTTATTTTTTTCGAGTTACATGTGTTTGTCACCATCGTTTGCTACGTTATCGTACTTTTTCAGTAGTCATCCCCCAGACGGTACGGATCACTCACTAATCATCATCAATCTTGGGATGTAAAACTCGTCTCAATTGAGCCGGCAAACAAAGGCAGCATTCATTAATTAGAATCGCAGCTCGTTGGCTGACTGGGCGTAGAAAGACCACTCCAACGGTGGCACGGATTCAGAACAAACTTTCACAAAACCACCTTCACTCACCCTCTCTTCGGTTCGATATCAAAGTTAAGTCGCATTAGGGTAACCAACTTGAATTGGACCCCTACATATTTTGGACCCTTTTCATATATTTTCCTCGCTTACTGTCTAATTTCTTCAAATTCATCTGGGTTGATGTTGTAATTACATTCTTTCAATTACTTGCTGTGTCTCAAGATCATTAGTTCACCTCAAATTGCTTACAATTGCTCAATTTATGCAGTTTTAGAAAATGTTATCGAAAAAGTTTCATGTTTCGACGTTTGTCAAGAGGAATCGGCGTTAGTGTACTTGTTTTAAATTTGGTCTAAAATATACAATTCAATGATTTTTTTTATCAAATCGGCTTATCTGACTTTGGAAGATGTATTTCACGTGTTTATAAAGATTTCACCTTAAGATTTTACTTAAAAAGTATTAAATAAAAAGTGTCCAAAAAAGATCGTAAAAAAATGTTACCAACTTATTTTGGACACTTATCAAATGAGAATCATCAAAAGAGCGACAAAAAAAAATTCCGGTTGGTCGATCGTGCTATTATCTCAGATTTCTGATCAAATTGGTAAGTAAATCAATCAAAATTATATGAATTCATTGTTTTTAAATATATTTCTTGTTTATCAGGCGATTCAAAATGGGAAAAACGGCAAAACACGTAGAGTGGTCCACTATGAGTTTTCCTAGTTTTCCACAAAAGTTTTCCTATCTCCCAAACGCATTTAACTAAGGGGCTGTTCATAAACTACATAGACGCTTTAGGGGGGTGGGAGCGCTTGGCAGATGTCTACGGTCCATACAATTTTTTAAATTTTGTGTTTGACAGTCTTCTACGGAAGGGGGGGGGGGGTTGAAATCTCTCAAAAACCGTCTACGTAGTTCGGATGAACAGCCCATACAAAAAATAATATGGACTGCAAGCATAGAGTCAGGTCTCCGTATTAAGATTTATTCTGAATGATTTTTTTTTTATGGTATGATCAGGTGTTTCCTTATGTTATATTATATTTCCTCCGTTACTCGCGCCAACTTTTGTAACACGAGTACTCACGCGTTGTACTTTGTACAACAGTGTGAGTTTTCCATTTCCATTTTGCAGCCGAGCTACCAATCGATCTGAAATCAACGAGTATTCCTCAGAAAACTTGCTTTTAACTAAACAAGCTAAATATTTATTACAGTTAACCCCAAAATATGCGGATAATAGAGAAAATGTAAATGGAAACCGCGTAAATGGTGTCCATACTACGAGGGTTCTGACTTAATTGGTTACAACATGGAATATCTCGAGATCCTGACCAGATAGAAAGTTACTGTCTTTGCCAAAGTAGTTCTAGAGATCATAACCTTTTTGCTGGTGGACAGTAGTTCAAAATTTACTCACTACATAGCGCTAGTATACATGTGAAGTTCTCGCATGTGATATATCTCGAAATCCTGATCAGATAGAAAGTTACTGTCTTCGAAAAAGTTGTTCAGGAGTTCAAAGCCTTTTTGCTGGTGGACTTAAGTTCAGAGTTTTCTCACTTTGCAACGCTAGTATACATGAGGAATTCTGGCATATAAAATATCTCTAGATCCTGACCAGACAGAAAGTTACTGTCTTCGGCAAAGTTGTTCAGGATGTTAGGATCTTTTCGTTGGTGTACAGTAATTCAGAATTTTCCCTTTACGTGGCACTAGTATGTGGGTCATTCAGAGATATTTTATATGCAAGGATTTCACGTGTCTTTCAACGTCACCTAGTGAGAAAATCATGTACTTTCCACCAACGATAGGGTTTGATCTCCTGGACAACTTTGCCGATTACAGTACATTTTTAGCAGGTCTGGAGATTTATCATATACGAGAATTGCACGTATATACTAGTACCATGAAGTGAAATATTCTGAACTACCGTCCACTAGCCAAAAGGCCTTGATCCCCTGAACAACTTTGCCCAAGACAGTAACATTCTATCTTGTCATGCTCTCTAGATATTTTATATGAGAGAATTTAACGTGTATACTAGAACTACATAGTGAGAAAATTCTGAACTATTCTATACCAAGCAATAGGCTTTGACCTCCTAAACAACTTTTTCAAAGACAGTAACTTTCTATTTGGTCAGGATCTCGAGATATATGATATGCGAGAAGTGTATATGTATACAAACGCCACGTGGTGAGAAAATTCTGAACTACTGTCTACCAGTCGAAAAGTCTTGACCCCCTGAACAAGTTTGCCCAATACAGTAACTTTCTAGCTGGTCAATAACTCGAGCTATTGTATATGCGAGAATTACACGTATATACTAGCGCCTCGTAGTGTGAAATTTCTGAACTACTCCACCAACGAAAAGAGCTTGACTTCCTGAACAATTTTGCTGAAGGCATTTACTTTCTATCTGGTCAGGATCTAGAGATATTTTATACACGAGAATTTCACATGTATACTAGCACCACGAAGTGAGATAATTCTAAACTATTGTACACTAAGAAATAGGCTTTGACCTCCTGAACAACTTTGCCGAAGATAGTAACTTTCTATCTGGTCAGGATCTCGAGATATTCCATGTTGTAACCAATTAAGTCAATCCCACGTAGTATGGACACCGTTTACGCGGTTTCCATTTACATTTTCTCTATTATCCGCATTTTGGGGGTTAATTGTAATCAAAGTTTAGCTTTTTTAGTTTAAAACAAGTTTTTTGAAGAATACAAGTTGGTTTCAGATCGATTGGCAGCAACAAAATGGCAATGGAAAACTCATATGTGTTGTACAAAGTACAACAGCGCGAGTAACGGGGGGTTAACTTTTATGCATGCCGTAAAACGGGGTGTAATTGATCAGCGGGGCAAAATTGATCGCTGAAATTTCTCGTGATATTTTTTCATGTGTAACATGTTTTTCGTTACTAAGCGTACGAATGTATCTTTGTATACATTGTAAAAATATTATGCATAGGTACAATATTGGGTATACTCAGCGATCAAATTCACCCCGCTGATCAATTTCACCCCGTTTTACGGCCCCTTCTTTGAAAATTTTCCCACCTAGACGGACCTAACAAATGCGAGATAGGAAGAAGTGACCGTCGTAATTAATTTTAGGCTCATAGGTTGAAAGAACTTCAGCATGTCCAAAATATATTCGTTCCCATTCAGTGTGTCCAAAATATATTATGGACACTGTCCAAAATCAAGTGGAAGGGTCCAAAATATGTGAATATCATGATGTGAAAAGAATTATTTTTCGAGTATATATCAATAAATAAAACATCTAGTGACATTTTACATCCAAGATGAGTAGCTTTCGAACACAACCGCATGTAAATTGCATAATAATAATAAACAAATAATATTATTTTGACATAAACGTGAACTCACTTCCTCTAGGGGTCCAAAATCAGTTGGTTACCCTAGTAAGGATCATTAATTTTATAGAAATCAAGCGTTTTTGTTCGACCGGTGTCGAGCGGTGGTGTCGTTAGATTTGCCTAAACTTCTGACCAGAGATAAACGGAACGGGTATGGAAGGATAAATGAGCGAACGGACGAGCGGAAGTAGGGATTACCATCGCTTCCGCCTGCCGTCCATCGCCGAGTTTGTCGGTCGGCCGGGTCGAAGCCCGCGTACTACTAGTAATTGTAGACGGGGGGTGAACTTTAAAAGCGATCGCTTCAAGGGTCCTTTCCGAGAGTGCCTGTTGAATTTCAATGAGTGTCGCCTTTGCCGTTAAACCCGGCGCCGTACGTAATAGGTACGTGTTTGGGGCGGCGGAAAGGACAAGGGGGTCGAAATGCCAATAGAACAATATGCACAGAACGGAGCGATGAAAATTCATTATTCGATGTGTCTCCAGAGGGGGGCAGAGAGGGAGATTTGCGACACCCGCTCGATTTTGTTCCCTGGAGGGCTTTTTTTTTGTTTGTTTCGTTGCGGCATGCGAGGATAATCGAGCGTCTGGAAATATAGTGACTAGACCAGTGACAGCTAGGGTGGTTCAAATAACGGTGGAGCACATGCTCAATCGATTCTAAATCAGGTCCTGATCATTCTACCAAAATTTAAATTTATTTTGATGGCCCCCATCAATTAAATGTGACTGGAGTGATATGTGCTTCCATTAGTTAAAAGTTACTGTACGCAACAATGGCATTTTTTTTCTTTAAAGCTTAGACCTTCCTGCATAACGTATCAAAAATTGAAGAATGTTTTCCTAGTCGTTTGCGACATACATTTTTTAATATGATGTTATTCGTTTTTTGCTTCAAAACT